AGCAGCAGCAGCAGCAGCAGCAGCAGCAGCAGCAGCAGCAGCAGCAGCAGCAGCAGCAACAGCAGCAGCAGCAGCAGCAGCAGCAGCAGCAACAGCAACAGCAGCAGCAGCAGCAGGGGGACCGTCACCGGTTCTATGGTGTAGTGGTTAGCACTGCGGACTCTGAATCCGCCGACCTGGGTTCGAGTCCCAGTAGGACCTTTTTTAAATTTAGAAATAAATTAATTTAAATTAATTAAAAATTAAAAATTAATTTAATTTGAAATTATTAAAACAAAAAAATTTAATTTTAAAATGAAAAACCCTTTTGAATGCCAAAGAGGATCCTAGCCTGGCGATGTCCAGGTGTACGTACACCTCGTCACCGTAGCCCGAAACCCAAACCCTAAACCCTAAACCCTAAACCCTAAACCCTAAACCCTAAACCCTAAACCCTGAACCGTAGAAGCTTATAAATATTAGTTTTTTGACTTTAAAATTGTTTTGAAGTGGTTTTCTTCTTCTGTTTTCTGAGCAGCTCCGTGGGTGGCGGTTTTGGACAATGAGTGAGTGAGAAAGTGAAATTTGGAATTAATTTAATTAATTTAATTTATTTAATTAAATTAATTAATTTAATTTAATTTAATTTAATTTAATTTAATTTAATTTAAGCTGCATTTCAGGGTTTATGGAGCTGCTGGAGAGTCAGCCGCACGGGCTACCCAGTGGTCACTCGAGAGCCGCCAACGCCTCAAACCCTAAACCCTAAACCCTAAACCCTAAACCCTAGATATAAAGCAAGATCTCTCAAAAATTGAATTTAAAATATAAATCACGCTTAATTGGAGCTAATGCTGAGCCCCAAGCCCTAAACCCTAAACCCTAAACCCTAAACCCTAAACCCTCGGTTAGCTCGGCAAGGTCACTGAGTTCAGTTGTTCAGATTTTGCCTTTTTACCATTTCCAAATGAATAAACAAAATTTAAATTTTATTTGTCTTTTAAAAAAGAGTTGTTCCATTGTTTTGAGCTGCGGACGCAGCTGTCTCTCCAGGGTTTAGGGTTTAGGGTTTAGGGTTTAGGGTTTAGGGTTCGGGAGAATGGGGTCAAGGCCCTTCTTCTTTTCCATTTTCTCCACCAGGCCATTCCTTCGGCCTGGAGTTCCTTTTTGTTTCTTTTTATTTAATTTATTTATTTATCTTCTCGCAGCAGCAAACCCTGCAGCAGCAGCAGCAGCAGCAGCAGCAGAAGCAGCAGCAGGGCCTTGCGGGCTGCTCCGCTGCGCTTCCCTGCGTCCTTCAGCAGCAGCAACTGCAGCAGCAGCAGCAGCAGCAGCAGCAGCAGCAGCGGGGCCCCCCAATGGCTTCACTATCTCTCCCGAGGCCCCATCTTTTATCTTCTTTCGCAGTAAGGGGCCCCCTGCTGCTGAGGGTCTTTTGGGGGCCCCCCTGCAGCGGGGCCCTGCTGCAGCAGCAGCAGCAAGAGCAGCAGCAGCAGCAGCACCTGCTGCTGCTGCTGCTGCTGCTGCGCCTCAAAGCCTGCTGCAGCTGCACCCTACTGATCGCTCCTTCATCGTTTACATCTTTTTAGGGTTTTGCATTTGCATGTTTGTGCTGCTGCTCTTTGTCACCCTCATGTGCGTGCTCGGCAGCAAGTGACTCAAACCCTAGGGTTTAGGGTTTAGGGTTTAGGTTTTAGGGTTTAGGGTTTGGGGCCGCGAGCGAATGGGAGGCGCTGCAGCTCTAGATCTAAACCCTTTTAAACAGCTTCAAATACTTCTTTATTAAAAACTCCATTTTTATTTTTGTTTGCTTTTAAGGGTTTGCAATTACTCGCTGTTTCACCAACATCCAAACAAACCCTAAACCCTAAACCCTAAACCCTAAACCCTAGATTTTCGCAGGCTAATATGGATTAATTATTATGGAAAGTACATTTTATTTTCTATTTGAGTTTCTACTAAAGATTTAGGACTTCCAGAAAAACATTTTTTAAATTCAAAAATAACTTTTTTAAAATTCAAAAGCAACAATAATTGTTTAGAAGTTTTTCAAAAGACATAAAAGAATATAAAAGAACATTCGAAAAAAAAGTAAGGACTCAACGACAATTATGAATTGGGGTTGAGGGTTTAGGGTTTAGGGTTTAGGGTTTAGAGTTTAGGGTTTGTGAGAAGGCGGGTTTTTCGAAAAGGCAAATTAAGTGGAATTTTAAATTAAAAGGGTAAATTAAATGAAGCTTTAAATCAAAAAAGCAAACTAAATGGAGTTTCAAATCAAAAAAGGAAATTAAATGAAGCTTTTAATTTCAAATTTTTCAAAACCGCCGAATTCTTTGCATGCGTTCTGGGGTTTCGGGTGTACGTACACCTCAGCGGTGTACACCCACCAGTGCGCGTTTTCCGCCATTTTGGGGCTAAAAGATGTTTAAAAGATGCAGAAATTGTCAGACATTTAATAAAATATAAAAACAAAATAGTTTTACATTTATTGGAGTTCAAATTCGACAAAAATTGAGAAAAAAAGAACAAAAAATGAGGCTTTTCGACTACTCCGGGAGTTCTGTTTCAGTTTCTACTTTTTTGCATTTTGCAATCAAAGAAAAGCTTCTCGAAAAGACTGGCCATGCATTTACTCCATTCCGAATAAAAGAATTATTTTTAATCTTTTAAATGAAATAAAATCCTTTTCAGATTCTTAAAAAAAGAAAAAGACATTTTATGCATTTTGCAAAAAGTTCCATTTAACTGCATCTCAAGTGGCTTTTGGGGATTTAAAAAACGACTTCTGCGCTCCGCGCCTCCAAACCCTAAACCCTAAACCCTAAACCCTAAACCCTAAACCCTAAACCCTCGTTTTCCAGGGCGGATGGTGTAGTGGTATCATGCCTGATTTGCATTCAGGAGGTCCCGGGATCGATCCCCGGTCCGTCCACTTTCTTATTTTCTTTTCCCTTTTCTTTTTTTCATTTTTAATTAATTAATTTTATTTTATTTTTTAATTTAATTCAATAAAACAACTCAGCCCCACACAGGGGCCCCCACAGCCCCTTTGGGGGCCCTTGGGGGCCCCCTGGGGGCCCCCTGTCGTTGAGCAGCAGCAGCAAATGGTTCTTTTTGCTGTTTTATTTTGCCTTTTTCGAGAAAGAAGTTGTTATTGGAAGCAAATTAGGGTTTAGGGTTTAGGGTTTAGGGTTTGGGGTTTGGCGGAAATGGCGCAGCAAAACGGCAACTCCGCAGCAGATTCGCTCGCTGCAGCAGCAGCAGCAGCAACAACGGCAGAAGCAACAGGAGCAGCAGCAGCAGCAGAACAGAGCCCATCAGCAGCAGCAGCAGCAGCAGAACAGCCCGCAGCAGCAGCAGCAGCAGAGCTGCCAGTAACAGCAGCAGAACCGCCAGCAGCAGCAGCAGCAGCAGCAGCAGGAGAACAATCAGAAGAAGCACCAGCAGCATTAGAGCAGCAAGACGCAGGAGCTGCAGCAGCAGCAGCAGCAGCAGCAGAAGAGCCAGCAGCAGCAGCAGCAGCAGCAGCAGCAGCAGACAAGTCCTGGCTGGCTGATGTGCTAAAGAAAGAAGAATGGGAAAGTGCGGGGCAGCACAAAGCTCGCCAGGAGTACATAAAGAAAGTAGTCGCTGTGAGCAAGGGTTTAGGGTTTAGGGTTTAGGGTTTAGGGTTTGGTGTTTAGCCTTTGGGGTTTAGGGTTTAGGGTTTAGTGTTCAGCAAACCGCTGAGGGCCAGGGCACAGCCCCACAGCTAGGTTCACGTCCCCTGTGGGGCCCTAAACCCTAAACCCTAAACCCTAAACCCTAAACCCTAAACCCTAAACCCTGCGTGGCCTGTGTGGGTTACTGCAGCGCCAGTTTTTGCCGCAGCAGCAGCGCGTTGCGGCAGCAAGCAGCAAACAACCAAATAACAATAAATAAATAAATAAATAAATAAATAAATAAATAAATAAATAAATAAATAAATAAATAAATAATATTTATTATTAATGTTTGCTGCAGCAAATGGAAAGTGCAAAAGAATTAAATGAAGACACTGTGCGGCTGCTGTCGAGTTTGTTCTTCTCCGTGCGGTACTTGGGGTGTACGTACACCCCAGAACTCGAACACTTGCTGCTCAAGTTCGACTCCGACTTAAAAGCTTTTGTGCAAAAAGAAAGGCAGCAGGAAGCAGCAAAGCAGCACAAGCAGCAGCAGCAGCAGCTGCTGCAGTAGCAGCTGCTGCTGCTGCAGGAGCGCCTGCTGCGGCAGCAGCTCCCGCTGCAGCAGCTGCTGCTGCTGCAGGAGCGCCTGCTGCGGCAGCAGCTCCCGCTGCAGCAGCTGCTGCTGCTGCAGGAGCGCCTGCTGC